CTTCAAAGAAGCAATGATTTCACCAAAATCAGAGATTTGGGCTACTGCTATGAAGGAGGAGATGGATTCCCTTAGGGAAAATGATACATTCACATTGACCACACTGCCAGAGGGTAAAAATGCAGTGGGGGGCAGGTGGGTCTATGCGGTCAAAAACAATTCAGATGAGACTGAGACATACAAGGCAAGATATGTTGCAAAAGGGATATAGTCAAGTGGCAGGAATAGACTATAAGGAGACTTTTTCTCCAACTGCAAATATGACATCAGTACGTTGTTTGATGCAGCTAGCAGCTCAGTATGACTTAGAGTTACATCAGATGGATGTCAAAACAGCATATCTACATGCTCCTATTGACTGTGAAGTGTACATGGAGCAACCAGAGGGTTTTGAAGTCAGGTCAGATACAGGTGAGCAACTAGTCTGCAAACTGAACAAGTCACTGTACGGACTGAAACAGTCAGGAAGGAACTGGAACAAAATGTTGCATGATCACCTTAGTGAAAATGGTTTTACACAGAACCCAGCTGATCACTGTGTTTACAACAAACAAACTGCAACAGAAAGGATCATTTTGATAATTTGGGCCAGATGGATAGTGAGTGCCAATATGCACCAGTAACAATCTTTGAAGATAACCAAGGTGCAATTGCTCTGTCAAAGAACCCAGTATGTCGTCAGAGATGTAAACATGTTGACATCAGATATCATTTCATTCGATCTGCGCTCAGTGATGGCAAAATAAGTATTGAATATTGTCCAACGGCAGACATGGTTGCAGATGTTTTGACTAAACCTGTAACGAAGTTCAAAAATGAAAAATTCTTGGGTTATATGTTTGGAATGTAAACTGACATTTGTGAGATGTATAACTGTAAGCTAAATGTGTTGATAGTTAGGTTGAATACGACTTGTACAGTATAAGAGCAAGTGGGGGTGTTAACATATAGACTAATATGTTATAAATTGTGTTCTTACACTGGTACAGTTATGCCCTATGAGAGATGTACAACTGCGCATGTGCGAAAATAAAGAAAGGGCATTTTCCCGCGTTCTGGTTGAAACACCAACGATGAACATGTGTGTTTATTCCTCCGTTAAGTAAGCCGGTATTCCTGTCCTGAAGATGACAGCACCAACAGCAGCTATTAGTCTACTATAGAGCGAGTCGGCTTGGTTGGTTGCTGTCTTTCATCTCTCCTGCCCTCCTCCCTGCTCACCGTGTAACTTGCTCACACTCACAGTAGCCTACACACAAAGCACGGCCCTTGCTAGAGTGTCACCTCTCTCTACCTCCTCTCCCTCGTGCTTTATCAGCTCCGGTTAATAAAGTAGCTTAAAAATTTACTTTTCTGCTGCTTCCCTCACTCGGATCTGACTGGTTCTGGATCTCATCAGGTCTATACGGAACGGGTCCGTTCGGAATGGGTCTATCTTTTTATTTTTTTTATTTACGCATATCGTGCCCGGTTGGGAAAGTCCCAGGTCCATTTCGTGACGGCCTCTACCTCCAGTAGGTTAAAGGAAAACGTATTATGCGTTTTGCATCATATGATGCAAAATGTATCATGCTGGCTGTATTTCTGTATTTTGAAAGTTATATACTGTATCTTGAAAACTTGATTGCTGACATGCAAAACATTTTGGGACTATATCAACAATGGACTAATGAAACAAATACCAAAAGATAGTTTTGGGGTGGAATTTTCCTTTAAGGTTGTCCAAGAACTTCCAGTGTTGTACACCTGGGTCGCTTGCTGCGGTGTTGACATTATGCAGTGAATATCAGGGTCCAAAGCAATGTTCCCTGGGGGAGGCCACATGGCATGCTCTGTAGGATCAATCTCTACCTTTAACAACGTGCCACTTCTCATTCCAGCCATGCAGTCAGTGTGTGTTGGATTGATTCACTGGCCTTTGTTATGTGTCTGGTAATTGACTAGCTCCCTGAGCCCCGATCACTCAGCCCTCCTTGATGTCCCCCTCTTAAATTAATCTTCCAGGGGAAACATAACCTTGGGGGCTGCATGCTCTTGTGTTACAATATACTAATGTTGTGTGTTAGTGGTCTCGCCCGTGATTGAGAGTACCATGTAAATGATGTGGAGTAGCATGGGTTAGTATTGTCTGACCCCTGGAAGACAATGTGTCCCTATACCCTATATAGTGGACTACTTTTGACCATAGGGGTCTGGTCAAAAGTAGTGCACTATATAGGGAATAGGGTGCCCTTTGGGACGTAGACTGCACATCATGATGGAGCTAATGGACGATGAGAAGCCGGCAGACCACTTTAACATTCTTCACAGTAAGCTATAGTAGCTGAACAGAGTGTACTGCATTGAGTGGCCATCAGAGGCTCTGTAGAATAGTCAGTTGAGGCCAGTCTATTCAATGATGTACAGTATAGCTGTGATCAATAGTGGTGGGAGACTGTTTATAAAACTGCCATCATTCAAAGTAATGGCAGGCCCTGCTGAATTCAAGTCTGAACTGAGGAGTTTGTCCTATTCATCCTATAATGAGTTCTGGAAGTGCATGTTGTCTGGGCATCCTCACTGCTATTTCATTAGGGATCAATCACATTGGATCAATATGACAATATTCTTCTCTTTTAGAGAATGGATGTTACTTTGTGTTATTTTGGGGGAGGGTTATTATCACCCAAGAGCAAATTAACACTGAACGATTTCATAAGTGAATAGGGCTCATCATCAAAGTGCATTGTGCAAAGTTAATGATACAGCACATCAAAAAGTAAATAATTCCGTTATTATCGTCGACAGGAAGAGAGCCTTACTTACCTGTAAGGTACATCTCCTCTCCTTCTGTAAACATCATCTGACAGCGGGCACAACGGGCACAGGTGGGGTGGTAGTGCTTTCCCCCTGCCTGAAAGACAGAGAGGCAGCGAGAGAGTGAGAGTGAGAGTGAGAGAGAGAGAGAGAGAGAGAGAGAGAGAGAGAGAGAGAGAGAGAGAGAGAGAGAGAGAGAGAGAGCGAGCGAGAGAGGAAAAGGGCAACCAGTGAAGAACAAACACCATTGTAAATACAGCACATATTTATGTTTATTTATTTTCCCTTTTGTACTTTAACTATTTGCACATCATTATAACACTGTACATAGCCATAATATGACATTTGAAATGTGTATATTCCTTTGAAACTTGTGAGTGTAATGTTTACTGTTAATTTTTGATTGATTATTTCACTTTTGTTTATTCATTATTTCACTTGCTTTGGCAATGCAAACATGTTTCCCATGCCAATAAAGCCCTTTGAATTTAATTTAATTTAATTGAGAGAAGAGAGAGAAGAGAGAGAGAGAGAGAGAGAGAGGAGAGAGAGAGACAAAGACAAGACAGAGACAGAGACAGAGAGAGACAGAGACAGAGACAGAGACAGAGACATAGACGAGAGAGAGAGAGAGAGAGAGAGAAGAGAGAGCGAGAGAAGGGAGAGAAGAGATAGAGAGAGACAGAAGAGAATAGAAGGAGAGAGCTCTCTTTCTCGTCTCTCCTCCCTCTCTTTTCTTTCTTTCTTCCCTCTCCCTCCCTCGCTCCCTCTTTGCCCAGGAGTGCGCGCCAAATATATTAACAAAATTGAGAGTGGATTTCAGAAGATATAAGATGGTTACAGGTCATTTTAGGCACGGAGGTGAGAAGATAGAGAAGGGAAAAGGCATGTAAGTGATGGCTGCTACTCAGACAGAACTCCAGGAACTGGACACTCATTCCAATTCCACTCTCTTCCAGAGCAATTTCATAATCACTCAGTGATTAAGTCCGTTTCAATTAGCCACTGTGTGTCCAAGCTGTGCCTTTCACAGCGTTTTATACACACACTCCAGTAGGCTGTCAGACTCACATTTCACAGCCTTCTCATAGAAAATGACAGGCAAGTGGTCAACCATAACATTGACAAAGAGGAGAAGTATCCAGTATTTTACAAAATGTGCCTCTAAAATGAAATGTAATTTTAGCAGAGCAGATATCTGCTAACAGTATATTGCATATTTTACAGTCACCTACAGAAAAAGACAAAAACAAACAGCACCAATATACCCATAAGTTTCTCTTTAGGGAGTGAAATGATTCTGGATGGATTCTAGCAGTGAGACAAAGATGTTTCAGAACCTCAATAATCACATAAAAACACAGTATAGCGCTACAGGTTAAAAACAGTTAGTTCTAACACCACAAAGAGATGGAAAGCAAGCCAGTTGAGTCATCTTGGATCATTTGGGTTAAATCAATCTTTGTTTAAGTGTGCTAAATGTGTTCCTGTGAAGCCTCTGAATGTCTTCCACTCCTCCTAAATTGTGTGTCTGTGTGTGTGTGTGTGTCTGTCTGTGTGTGTGTGTGTGTGTCTGTGTGTGTGTGTGTGTGTGTGTGTGTGTGTGTGTGGGTGTGTGTTACGGTGTCCCACCTTTAGGTGCAGGGGCTGTCACAGGCCCTCAAGTTTAGCCATGATGACAGAGCATTAAAAGCCTCTCTATTTTTAGAGCCGTGACGGCATGCAGTCTGTACACATTTGCTCTCTAGTCTGCACTCAGCACATTCAAGGAGCCTGGATTGATTTCAACTCAACAGCACTAATCATATGCATGGACATTATGACTTGCAATGTAGCGCTGCCGTTGCAGACAATCACCTGCTAGTCTATGCACTGCATCAACCTTTGATGGTGTCATAATGTTCTGTTTATTTGTATTCTTTAGTATGATCTCTAAGAAATACCAGAGTACTTAACTTATTTAATGTGGTTCATATCAAGAGGACAAAACAGGAGGTTGTTTTTCACTTCCCATCCATGTTTCTTTGAAATGAGATCTCTGCCAAGATTACAAAACTGCTGTCTTGTCTGTGAGGTAATGAATAGGTACTATACACACTTAATGAAAAGATAGCATGCAGATTGATGCTTTGTGGTGAAGTTTGCCATTGGTTTATAATTAGTGAGCAGTAGGAAGCAGTGTGAGATGAGGTCTCAGATGGTTAGACAGACAGACTCACCTCCAGCACCCTGCCACTGATATATCTGATACACGTTGCACACTGGATGCCAAACTGGGCGTGGTAGTCAGTCTCACAGTATGGAATACCATCCCTGAGAACACACAGACACACACACAGATAAACACACACATAGTACAGTCAGTAGCTAGTCTTTTTTCAAATGATAACAGTCCATAATAACAGATGGATACAGTCCATGGGATGGCATGTCGCAGCTATGTGTGCAGTAAATGCACAGTGCATATGTAGGAGGATTCTTCTGCTTGACTCAGAGTGAGGAATGTACTGTTTACTACTACTATACTATATACTACTAGTACTCTACTGGTATTGTGATGTTACCACAGAGTGCACCTACTTGCTGATGTACTCCCCGGTCAGCACAGTGCCACAGGTCTGACACTTGAAGCAGCTGACATGCCACTGCTTCTCCAGGGCCAGGAGGGACTGGCCATGTTTGATCTCCTCCTTACAGCCAGCACAGTCTGAGAGAGAGAAAGAAAGAGAGAAGAGAGAAGAGAGAGAGAGGAGAGAGAGAGGGAGAGAGAGAGAGAGGAGAGAGAGAGAGAGAGAGAGAGAGAGAGAGAGAGAGAGAGAGAGAGAGAGAGAGAGAGAGAGAGAGAGAGAGAGAGAGAGAGAGAGAGAGAGAGAAGAGAGAGAGATGAACAGAGAATAAACAGAGAATGAAAATGGAAGAGTGGCAAGAGGGGACAAAACAATATTGAACCAAACGTGTAGTCTCTCCGGTAAGGAATCACAAACGTGCACCAGCTCAGATGTGATGTACAACCCAGTACAGATACAGTCCAGAGCATTGAGTAGCTCTACTGAAGGCTGTGGGTGTAGCGGCTGGAGTAGATGAGTGGAGAGGAGCAGAGGGAGTTATGGCAGACGATGATTCATGGCCGTGACGGGGGAAGGTTGGCATTTATTGTCATGAATCTTGCCATGGAGGCAAAACTGCATTTTAAACCTAACCCTAACCTCAACCCTAACCACACTGTTAGCCCTAATGCCTAACCCTAACCTTAAATAAATTGTTGTTTTCATACATTTTTACTATATAGACAATTTTGACTTTGCAGTTGGCCCATCTAGTGGAAATCGCTCAGTTCTGCCTCCAGGGCAAGATTCATGACAATAAACGTCGGAAAAGGTCGGGCTCCCATTTGTTCTCATTTAAAGTCGACGTCTCGCCTGTCCCCCACTCCTGCCCTACTCTCACAGAGAGAGATGTAGAGTCCTACTCCAAACTCACCTATACTGAATGTATCATCCTTTACACTGTATCATCCAAACAGTTTGAGCTTCTACTTCTAAAAATCCACCTTTCCAGGAATAAGTCTATCACTGTTGCCGCTTGCTACAGACCCCCCTCAGCCCCCAGTTGTGCCCTGGACACCATATGTGAACTGATTGCCCCCCATCTATCCTCAGAGTTCGTTCTGCTTGGTGACCTAAACTGGGATATGCTTAACACCCCGGCCGTCCTACAATCTAAACTAGATGCCCTCAATCTCACACAAATTATCAAGGAACATACCAGGTACAACCCTAAATCCATAAACATGAGCACCCTCATAGATATCATCCTGACTAATTTACCCTCCGCTGTCTTCAACCAGGATCTCAGCAATCACTGCCTCATTGCCTGCGTCCGTAATGGGTCCACCATTGTGACCTGTACGCTCTCGTTGGCTGGCCCTCACTACATATTCGTCGCCAAACCCACTGGCTCCAGGTCATCTATAAATTACTTCTAGGCAAATCCCTGCCTTATCTTAGATCATTGGTCACCATAGCAACACCCACCCATAGTATGCGTTCCAGCAGGTATATCTCACTGGTCATCCCCAAAGCCAACACCTCCTTTGGCCACCATTCCTTCCAGTTCTCTGCTGCAAATGACTGGAACGAACTGCAAAAATCTCTGAAGCTGGAGACACTTATCTCCCTCACTAACTTTAAGCATCAGTTGTCAGAGCAGCTTACCGATCACTGCACCTGTACACAGCCCATCTGTAATTAGCCCACCCAACTACCTCATCCCCTATATTGTTATTTACATTATTATTTATTTTGCTCATTTGCACCCCAGTATCTCTATTTGCACATCATCTTCTGCACATGTATCGCTCCAGTGTTAATACTAAATTGTAATTATTTTGCACTATGGCCTATTTATTGCCTTACCTCCATAACTTACTACATTTGCACACACTGTATATAGATTTTCTATTGTGTTTTTGACTGTACGTTTTGTTTATTCCATATGTAACTCTGTGTTGTTGTTGTTTTTATCGCACTGCTTTGCTTTATCTTGGCCAGGTCGCAGTTGTAAATGAGAACTTGTTCTCAACTGGCTTACCTGGTTAAATAAAGGTGAAATAAAAATAAATATAAAAAAAACACTCTTCAGCTCAGCCATGCCTGTACATTTTTCACACTCCAGTCTCAGGTCACAACGGGCATACCCAGGGCTCCTCAGTCCTCGTCTGATGTGACTCTGCAGCCTACTGTATGGGCTGTTTGGTAAACAGACGTTTCTCATCACTCTGGCTCAGCACTGTTTGTCACGGCTACTCTGCCTGGCACACCCACACCCATACTGAGCTTTTTACTATATAAACACCCGGTGGCTTAACAGGCATCCGCTCTGGCTGTTCTCAGGTAAAACAGTATATTCCAGTTAATAACCATAGGGAAATGGCTTTGCTGGACAGGAAGGCAGTATTTCCACGTGGTGGCACATGGACAGTGTAGCCATCTGGAGAGGGCAAGGTGGCCAACACAACACCACTTCCTCAGGGCAGGTAGGCACTGTACCAGTCCTGCCTGGATCCTGGGAGACTCAGTTCAAATACCTGATATTGCCAGTCAAATTATCATCTATTTTCAGTCATAACCGTGGGACATTGTGTGACAATTTCATTTATTCTTATAGATAGCCATTAAAACAATCCTACCATAAAAAGACTTCAGATGCCAAGCAGAGCAGTTGTTTTCAGCATGTAATCAATGCTCCCATTAATTTAGGTCATGACATGAGCCCATGTCTGCCTGATTGCACTGTAACTGGAGGACTGCTGTATTAAAGCATGTGCCTGTTGCCAGGTAGATTAATAGCAGTCATTTGCAGATGAGCGATATTATTGATTGATGTGATATCAAGCCAGTACTGTGTTACTGCTACTGTACCATCCCCCCTCTCTCTCTGCACTCCATGTACTTAACCAGGTGTCCATGGTACATCATGAAATCTCTACACACAATTCATCTAATGAAGATTAAAGGGACTGTCGTAGTGGGCTGATTAAGATGGGAAAGGAGGTGGCTTATCAACTGTATGCACTGGTTATATGACAGGTGGATGTCCTACTGTATGTTGAGATCTGGTCTATGTATCTACTGTATGTGACCTTGTTGCAGATTAATCTACATGTGCTGCTATTGCATCAGAAATTCATGAGGTCATCATCAGGATATAGTGATTCCACTGAGAAGTGTGCAGTGCTGAAGCCTTGTCCTATGGGACCATTGCTGTGCTGTATGACACTGATCATGTAAGTCTAGCTGAGGCCCTGTGCTATGAGAAAGAGCTTCTGATATTCTGATATGGAGACTTACGGCTGGGTCCGTGGATCTTGACTGGCTCGCTGCTGACCAGTGAATGAGAGCACTGCTGACAGACACACTTCTTCCCACAGAAGGTCACCCTATCTCCGATAGGGAAAGGCTTTCTGGAAAACAAGAGAAAGGAAGAAATCAGACATGTATTCTGCTGAACCCGTAACGTCATTCAGTACGTATACTGTGTGTAATGACAGCTAGGCAATATTATTTTACACAATTGCACATTTTGTGTTTAGTAATTTTCATCATGTACTGTTTGTGGGTCCAGTTATAATAGATTTTGTAAATTCTCCCTTAAAAAAATGCCCAAAATAAATCCATGAGAAAATACTGCGGTAGGGTTATGTCCTTACAGGGGGCGCCATATTTACTTTTGTCCAATGACAGTGACAGTGAAATCCAGGGTCTGCGGAGTCAGAGCAGAGACGACTACAGCACAGCAGTGGTACTGTTCTATACAGCCATTCTGGAAGTGTTTGCTAATGTATCGCTAACTAACTACCCAACACTGAACAGCTGAGCACTGAGTCTAATGGTGCTTTGATGTGATTGAGAAGATTAGACATTATTATTTCTGCATGCATTTGGGATTATATTATGTTTAGAAAATGTTTCTAAAAAAAACCTTTGAGCAGAAGGCGCTTAATTTGGTCAAGGAGGGCAATGTGATTCTCTTTAGTTGCACATGAGAGAGAGACGGCTTCAAAGGCCAGACCTCCGTTCTAATCGCATTAATACTGATTAGAGTGCCACTCTCCATGCAGACACACACACAGGCACACTCACACATGAAAGAGAGAGGATGGAGCCCCTTTCCCAAAATATTCATCAAAACAAACATCTTTAGCCACTGGATAAAGGAAGTCATGCAACATTTAAAACTAAAGGAAATGCATTATTCCGTTAGAAGATCTGCAATTAAATTGGATCATATCTGGCAACCTTTCTTATCTTTTGTAGAAGACATGGACCCAGCTAATTTCATAACTCCGTAAACTAACCCAAATAAGAATTTATATCATTATTTTTTACTTTTCATTCCATTTTGTTTGTTTGTTTCTTTTTCTGGTATTTTACATTTACATTTTAGTCATTTTAGCAGACGCTCTTATCCAGAGCGACTTACAGTTAGTGAATACATTATTTATTTTTTTATACTGGCCCCCGTGGGAATCGAACCCACAACCCTGGCGTTGCAAACGCCATGCTCTATCAACTGAGCTACATCCCTGCCGGCCATTCCCTCCCCTACCCTGGACGACGCTGGGCCAATTGTGCGCCGCCCATGAGTCTCCCGGTCGCGGCCGGCTGCGACAGAGCCTGGATACGAACCAGGATCTCTAGTGGCACAGTTAGCACTGCGATGCAGTGCCTTAGACCACTGCGCCACTCAGGAGTAGAGTATAGTTGAGTTGGTATAGGCGTGGGGCTCTGTTGACGCATGGGGGGTTAGGGTGGGGCTCTGTTGAAACATGGTGGTTAGGGTGGGGCTCTATTGAAACATGGGGGTTGGGGTGGGGCTCTATTGAAACATGGGGGTTGGGGTGGGGGCTCTGTTGAAACATGGGGGGTTAGGGTGGGGATCTGTTGAAGAATGGGGGGTTAGGGTGGGGCTCTGTTGAAGCATGGGGGGTTGATGGGGCTCTGTTGGAGCATGGGGGGTTGGGGTAGGGCTCTGTTGGAGCATGGGGGGGTGGGGTGGGGCTCTGTTGAGATGATGGGGGGTGGGGCTTGTTGAAGCATGGGGTTGGTGGAGTTGAGAGGGGGGTGGGGGCTCTGTTGAAGCATGGGGGTTGGGGTGGGCTCTGTTGAAGCATTGGCAAGGGGGGGGATTGGGGGTTGGGGTGGGAGGCTCTGTTGAAGGGACATGGGGGGTGGATGGGGCTCTGTTGACATGGGGGTTTGGGCTCTTTGGAGCATGGGGGTTGGGTGGGCTCTGTTGGACATGGGGGTTGGGGTGGGGCTCTGTTGAAACATGGAGGTTGGGGGCTCTGTTGAAGCATGGGGGTTTGGGGTGGTTGCGCTCTGTTGAAGCATGGGGGTTGGGTCGGGCTCTGTTGAAGCATGGGGGGTTGGGTGGGGTCCTGTTTGGAGCATGGGGGGTTGGGGGTGGGGGCTCTGTTGAAGCTGGTGGGTTGGGGTGGGGCTCTGTTGAAGCATGGGGGGGTTGGGGTTGGGCTCTGTTGAAGCTTGAGGGGTTGGGGTGGGGCTCTGTTGAAGCATGGTGGGTTGGGGTGGGGCTCTGTTGAAGCATGGTGGGTTGGGGTGGGTCTCTGTTGGAGCATGGAGGGTTGGGGCTCTGTTGAAGCATGGGGGGTTGGGGTCAGGCTCTGTTGAAGCATGGGGGGGTTGGGGCTCTGTTGAAGCATGGGGGGTTGGGGTCGGGCTCTGTTGAAGCATGGGGTGTTGGGGTGGGGCTCTGTTGAAGCATGAGGGGTTGGGGTGGGGATCTGTTGGAGCAAGGGAGGTTGGGGTGGGGTTGATGCGGTAGGGGATCTTTAGTTTTTTTACCCTCTACCTGTTTGTCTGTGTAATCTTAAAGATGACAAATAAAGATGTGTCGCAGCCGGCCACGACCGGGAGACCAATGAGGCGGCGCACAATTGGCCCAGCATCGTCCGGGTTATGGGAGGGTTTGGCCGGCCGGGATGTCCTTGTCCCATCGCGCTCTAGTGACTCCTTGTGATGGGCCGGGCGCATGCATGCTGACTTCGGTCGCCAGTTGTATGGTGTTTCCTCCGACACATTGGTGCGGCTAGCTTCCAGGTTAAGCGAGCTGTGTGTCAAGAAGCAGTGCGGCTTGGCAGGGTCGTGTTTTGGAGGACGCATGGCTCTCGACCTTCGCCTCTCCCGAGTCCGTACGGAAGTTGCAGCGATAGGACAAGACTGTAACTACCAATTGGAAATCACGAAATTGGGGAGGAAAAAAAGGGGTAAAAAATAATCACAGTGAATAGGTATGACAAACTCTTAAAATGTAGGCCTGTCCGAACCGTAGCAAACCTAAATTGAAGACTTACAGTACCAGTCAAAAGTCTGGACACACCTACTCATTCAAGGTGTTTGTTTGTTGTTTTTTTAAACAATTTTTTACATTGTAGAATAATAGTGAAGACATCAAAACTATGAAATAACACATATGGAATCATGTAGTAACCAAAAAAGTGTTAAACAAATTATATTTGAGATTCTTCAAATAGCCACCCTTTGCCTTGATGACAGCTTTGCACACGCTTGGCATTCTCTCAACCAGCTTCACCTGGAATGCTTTTCCAACAATCTTGAAGGAGTTCCCACATATGCTAAGCACTTGTTGGCTGCTTTTCCTTCACTCTGCTGTCCGACTCATCCCAATCCATCTCAATTAGGTTGAGGTTGGGGAATTGTGGAGGCCAGGTCATCTGATGCAGCACTCCATCACTCTCCTTCTTGGTCAAATAACCCTTACACAGCATGGAGGTGTGTTGGGTCATTGTCCTGTTGAAAAACAAATGATAGTCCCACTAAGCCCAAAGCAGATGGGATGGCGTATCGCTGCAGAATGCTGTGGTAGCCATGCTGGTTAAGTGTGCCTTGAATTCTAAATAAAATTCTAAATAAATCACAGACAGTGTCACCAGCAAAGCACCCCCACACCATAACACCTCCTCCTCCATGCTTTATGGTGGGAACTACACATGCAGAGATCATCCGTTCACCCACACCGCGTCTCACAAAGACACAGCGGTTTGAACCAAAAATCTTCAATTTGGATCATGAAGGCCTGATTCACACAGTCCTCTCTGAACAGTTGATGTTGAGATGTGTCTGTGACTTGAACTCTGTGAAGCATTTATTTGGGCTGCAATTTCTGAGGCTGGTAACTCTAATGAACTTATCCTCTGCAGCAGAGGTAACTCTGGGTCTTCCATTCCTGTGGTGGTCCACATGAGAGCCAGTTTCATCGTAGCGCTCGATGGTTTTTGCGACTGCACTTCTTATCAAGTTCTTGAAATGTTCTGTATTGACTGACCTTCATGTCTTAAAGTAATGATGGACTGTCTTTCTCTTTGCTTATTTGAGCTGTTCTTGCCATAATATGGACTTGGTCTTTTACCAAATAGGGCTATCTTCTGTATACCCCCCCACCTTGTCACAACACAACTGTTTGGCTCAAACGCATTAATTAGAAAATAAATTCCACAAATTAACTTTTAAGAAGGCACACCTGTTAATTGAAATGCATTCCAGGTGACTACCTCATGAAGCTGGTTGAGAGAATTCCAAGAGTGTGCAAAGCTGTCATCAAGGCAAAGGGTAGCTATTTGAAGAATCTCAAATATAAAAATTTTTTTGGTTACTATATGATTCCATATGTGTTATTTCATAGTTTTGATGTCTTCACTATTATTCTACGATGTAACATTTTTGACTGGTACTGTATGTCAATGTAATAGGTTGTGACACAACTAGCCTATTTAAACAATATAATTATGTAGAAGACCTGCAAAGAAAAGCGCCAAGACAAATGATTCTTAACAAAAAAAGAGATAAGACACATGGAGATACTAAAGCAGACAGGATGGGTATTTAGGGCTACCATTCAAAAGGCAAATCACAACCTCTGCTCTGCATTCATTATACACACACACACATACGCACCACACATCTCTTTGGTGTGGTGTGTGCTGACAGGGTGGCCCTGTGGGCTTCAGCGGTAACATCCAGTGACAGGGAGGCTCACAGAGAAGTCCACTCTCCCTGGAGTCAGGATGGGCAATTGGACAGATCCTGTATCCAGCTACATGGCAGCCAGGCATGCAGGGGAATATGCGTCACATCCGCTTGGCCACAGCAGTTAAACTGGGCCAGCAGAGGTGATCTTCATGCTGCACACTGAAACAAACATACTGCCTGCGTCCCAAATGGCACCCTATCCCCTAGATAGTGCACTACTTGTGACCAGGGCCCATTTGGGACGCAGACGCTGTTTCAAACGTGCTGAGGACGATGCAGTGTGCTATGAACAACAGATAATATTGTTAAATGTACTTGTGTAAACAACGCATCCTACCCCTGGATATTGAGGTTTGGGAGAAGTGGGGATGATCTGTGGTTGATGATGAGTGTTTTACGTGTGGTGACTGCTGACTGCATGAGCGGAATGCCAGCTCTGCTCCCACCACCGAAAGCTAAGAGTCAGCATCTCTAGCAGGACAGGCAGCGCTATTAGGACAATTTTTGGTAAAGATTCATCACCCTTAAACATGGACTACTCAGTACCATCATTCAATATAATTTACTGCTTCACTAGACAACTGATGGTGGTATATTCCCTATCACTTTGCATATCACTGGCAAGCGTCTGCCAAAATTACATCTCATAACACCATACAGTGTGTCAGGTCAGTAATAACCTTGAACTACAACTTGCAAACAGTGTTAAACACATGAATTAACATACACATCTGTGCACCATGGGACATACACGCACAGCCATGTTAGCAGTAGTGCTATCAGCCTATCAAGGCCCTAGGTGGGGAGGTTACTGTGGGTCAGACTCTAAACCCACCCCAGCCCTGGTGCCACCTGCTACGGCCACCTGCCACCGTGCGTGACCCCCTGCCTGCCCAGACCACCTGGGCATTCCACAGTACAACACAGCATGCCACCAACACCAACCAACCAGACCCAGGTCTGCCATGGTCCGCCACACAGAGACTATAAAACACAGAGAGACGCGACAGTTGAGAGTGTGGGTGTCTGAACAATAACAAAACAAATAGCGTGGGAGAATAAAATGGCTTAGAGGGAACAAGTCAGGTCATCTGGCAGGAAAATTCCCTTCAAGGAATTATAGAAAATGCCAGCAGAGCAAGGGTAGTAGGTGAACTTGTTGCTGTAGGGTATGTGTGTGTGGGGGTTGTGCATGTGGTTTTGCTTGTATGTGGTCATTTGTGTTGTACATACTGGGCACATATTTCTACTACAGTATGCCTGTAAGGCCTCTCTCTCGGGCCCGTGCTGCTGCAGTGTGTTTGGCCTCACTAACCCCCTCCCACTACAATATATCTCTAGTCATCTCAACCAGCAGCCCAATATAGAAGAAACCACAAACTCTTCAAAAACCCTCCAAAGACTCTGAAACAGTGACAGTGAACCACACAATCAGAGAGAGGGCTTTTGACATTGTAATAACCCTGAGGTCTTAGAATCCCAGCATGACAAGCAGAAACAAGAGGCTGCATGTCCCTTTCTCTCCTCACAAGATAACGTCCCTCCTCACTGAATTGTTCCCTGTCTTGGAAGATATGATGAAACATCTGATCATTCCATCTGATCATTCCCTTGTATTCTGATTATGCTGAAATCTCTTCTTTATCAATTTAATTCAGGACTGATTAAATGCCAGCATCCCCAACAAAACAAATTATTCACTACTTGTTTCCTCCACTCATTGTCTCCATGGTAAACTCACTAATTTAAATCAAACATTATACAGCCCAACGTTGTCCTACGATGTGGAGGGCCAGTGATGATCAATGTGGTGGATATACTGTATATATATATATATATATATATATATATATATATATATATATATATATATATGTGTGGGTGTGTTTGTGTGTGCCCCCACAGTACCTACCTGCACATGCTGCAGACGAAACACTTGGGGTGGTAGGTGCGCCCCAGCGCTGAGACCACCTCCCCTGTGATGAAGTCTCCACAGCTGTCACACTTGGTGCCATAGAGGCGCTGGTAGTCCTCTGTACAGATGTACTCTCCTCCCTTCTGGAAGAAGCCTGAATGAGCCAGGTCACAGCCACACACTAGAGACACACAGAGACACAGAAGTGAGATGTTAGCAAAGAAAAAAATGGTTAAAAGATTGATCAGGCTGTATATACACAATAGAGGAAAAAGGAGGATCAAACATGACATTTAATCGGTAATCAAAAGCATGGTAAACACTCTAAGTAGAAATCCCCAACAGTACAGAGCAAACTTGGCTATTCGCCTCCATTGCAAAAGCATGAACACACAACATGTTTGTACAAGCAGTATTTCCTCATGCAGTTAAAAAGAAATTGTACACGAGAGGCTGTGCTAAACAACTTTTCCTACAACGGGTTGGTCAAAACAAGCATTGTGTTTGTTTGAGATGCGTTTTAAGCCATTCTGAAAAACCTATTTAGCACGGGTAGGCATATGACACAAAAATTGGCATCTTGTTTTCTCTATTCTATCTGAATTGTGATTTAATGAACACACTAAGAACCATAAAGATCCATCGGAGCGAGACATGACGAAACCGACATGGTTGCAAAAAGATATTAGCAAGCTCCCGCAAGACGCCCCGGCCTTCTACCTGCATCCCAAGTGGTAGACAGTCAACAGCCAGTCGGAGTTAACACACTTGGATCGCTGCTGCCCCGACTAAGCAAGGTTTGTTGTGCAAATAAGTTAGCCAGGTCACCCGTGATAGAAGTTAGTATTCGACGTCCATCCACGTCTCAGGACGTCGGAAGATTACATGGAAACCGGCCACTAGGGGCAACAGTGAGCGCTGTTACCTTCAAGTAGGTTGTCGGTTTTGCTTGGGGTTTTGTGGACGGGGATGGGCATAAGCATCTGCCTCTGATTGCAAAAGTTGCAAGTTCAAATCCTTAACCTTAACCTTAACAATTTGGAGTTAATGCCTAAACTTAACCTTAAACAACTTCGAAATTTGACGTTTGAGAAACATGGATGAATGTCTAATTCTGAAGTGAGGCTGTGACAGCTGGTAGAATAAGTAGCCTACATATTTTGATATTAGAGCTAAGACACTATATTAGGCTTCTCAAATCTTGGTGAGTGGATGATTGAAATAACCAAGTTACTTATCTTTCTCTCTCTTTCTCTCCCTCTCTCTCTAGGAGGTCGGCAAACAAAAAGCGCAGAGCGGCGAGCTCCCTGAAGAGCTACTGGACCCCTTACCTGGACCGCAGGAAAAGATGGAGCAACATCCTGACAGGGTCCGACTCCAAGAACCACCCGTCAGTTCCAGCTAAACAGCAGTCTGCTGACGAGGCCCCATTAGATGCATGATACTTCAAAGGCTGCTCAATGAACGGCAACATGCACATTAACGTTTACAATAAGTAGTGGATGATTGAAATAAACAAATCGTGTCAGTGTTATGATTACAATAATTCCTCTTTCTGTAAAATGGTCTGGCAGTAGGATACAAGTGTATAGTGTATTTCTGCTTGATGAGCATGATGATGCGCTAACTTCAGCACCACGGACAGCGCTATCGCTGTCAGCAGCACTAGCAGTGCCTGCCCATAGAAACGACGCCAACCGAATGAACGACCAGCCGGCTTGGCTAGCAACCATAGATTTGTGTTGGGACTATATTTTCGTGGAGGGATGAAATAGTAGCCTATGAATACATTTATCAAAATAACGTTTTTTATTTAATTGGAAACCCGTTGTAGAAAAGCAATTGTACACAAGAGGGCGTGCTAAATGACTTGTTTTAGCACGGCTGTGCTGCGGTTGTAGGTACACGTGTGTGTGTATGTGTGTCAGTACAGTATGTTAGCCTGGCCTGCATGACCCCTGACCCTAGATAAGCTACAAAGTTAAATACTATAATCCATCCATGAGGATTTTAAAAAGTGGACATAATAATAATAATCATACTATATAATCACATTAACCCAAATGTCGACATTGAGTAAATGCTCTGTAAATGACCATTGATATGGCTCTTGCTGTAACTCAAACTTCAGTGTGCATGTTAAAGAAATAGGCTTCAATTAGCTAAATGGCTTTAGATCTAGCTGAGAGTGACAGTACCCGAGCCAAAGTGTTTAGAAGCCTAGCTGGGTAGAAAGAGCCCCAGTAAATCATCAGGCTCTATTGACTCACAAAAGATGCAGCCACTGACAGAGAATAAGGATTATGAGACAGGGACAAAGAGACAGAGATACTATCTCTCTAAGCATACATAGGATAGCCAACTGTCAGCCAATATGATTTCAAATTGAGAATGATGGGTAAATGATGCCTTACACACTTATTGCTGAATGAACCAACTAGCACTCACAGGCTCACATCAGAATTAGAAGTTCATCCATGTTCTCAAACGTCAAATTTTGAAGTTGTTGCTAACGTCAAATTTCAAAGTGTTTAAGGTTAAGTTTAGGCATTATCTCCGAAATCTTAAGGTTAGGTATTAACTCAGAATGGTTAAGGTAAGTGTTAAGGTTTGGGATAGGCTTAAAACCAAAATCTCAAAAACTATTTTCTATCGCTGGATTTAAACTTGCAACCTTTGGAATCAGAGGCAGATGCTTATGCCCATCCGCAACTTCCTAGCAAAACTAAAACCTACTTGAAGGCAACAGCGCTCACGGTTGCCCCTAGTGGCCAGTTTCCACATCATCTCCCAATGTCCTTAGACATGGATGGATGTCGAATACTGACCTGGCTGGAATGAACCCCCCCCCCCCCCCCCCCCGCCCCCCCCCCTCCCCCCGCTCCTGCCCCTCAGGAGGAGTGAACCATGATCCTGTGCACTGCGTCTCCAATAACACCGGCTGGCTACAAACCGCTGCAGCATAGACAAGACACATACGTCCCCTTGGGGCACCTAGCCACACATGCTGCCAGCCAGGGAGACAGCCTCTCTCTTAGGGCGGCCCTGCCTCTCTCTGCTACAGCACCACGCTGTGTGTGTGTGTGTGAGTGTGTGTGTCATGGGTCCCACTTCTGTCATGGGTACCTTTGAATGAAGCAAATAAGACACCAAATATAGCACACCAACCATGAAAACAAATGTTTTAAGGGTATAAATTATTCAGTTAAACCTAAAGAAAGGGATGCATGAGCTAAAACATTACATATTTTGCAGGACTGAGATTCACAATCACAGGATCCACTGTTCCCATCACCTATTCCCCTCATTGAAGACATCTAGACAATAGAAAACACAGGCATACAGTCTCCTACATCATCTGTAGAGCATCGGAAGTACTACAGTTAGTTACACTATTCCTCTATTGTGACACACTGCTCCTCTTTGTCTCACTGACCCACATGGCGTTCTCTTTCAACAGCAGAGCCCGAGCCCATGCTAGCTAGCCAGCCAGCGAGACAAATCACTGCCTACCACAGCCCATTCACTGCCAGAGAAAAAGCTTTTGAAAGGCTAGCGGTGACATCTGCACGCCCTACAGTTTACCCTCTCTATCTGGCCCAATGAATAATTCAGCTAGTCCATAAATAAAGACTGGTGCATGAGGAATCAGCGGCCCACCACACCACACCACACCACGCTGCTCCACACTTACTGCTACCACTACAGTCTCTACAAACTGATGCCAGATCAGCCAGGACCGGATGGGGGGGATTGGGAAGCAGGGCGGGGGGGGGGGGGGGTTGATTATGTATTTATCAACAGCCAACAGACATAATTACAATTCTATTCCCCCCTCCTCTCCTCCCCTCCCCTCCCATCCCCTGGTAATCGCATGGCACGCAATTAGGCTTTATCGCCTCCTCCTCAGTGGAGCGCCAGCTCTTTGTGGCGGTAGAGGCGGGCAGAGGCAGGAGGCAGGCAAGCTCGCCTAGCCTGGGCCAGATAAGGAGCGGTTGCCAGCCCTCTGCGTCCTCTGAGAGAGTGTGAGAGAGATAGAGAGAGAGAGAGAGAGAGAGAGAGAGAGAGAGAGAGAGAGAGAGAGAGAGAGAGAGAGAGAGAGATAGAGAGAGAGAGAGAGTTGTTTAGCCTGGGCTGGGATCAGAGCTCATGCCTTGCCTGGTCTTCCGCTCCACAGCCAGGAGATGGCCAGTCAACAAAGCACTGCTCACATCAGAGGAGGAATCTAGGCAGAAAGGACGGCAACTGGTTGTTTGATAGTAATAGCACCGGCGGAAACCAGAAATGATGCCAGGGTACCAATTTGAACTAAGAGCTAGCATGCAGATTTATGTCTAGGAAAGAGATGGCCAAGTTGGCTTGGCCTCCTGTTATGTGGATTGGGCATCTGTATGCATACACACACAGAGCAAAGCAAACACAACCACATTATGGGTTGATTACACATGTAGCAAACATCTAAAAGATGCCAACCCTGAAATGACAGTGAGTAAATCTGTCTGTGTGTGTGCACGTGTGTGTTTGAGCATATGGGTGCTAGGAGTGTGTGTGTTCCAGTCCATATGCACCATTTCTCTCTGTTTAAAGCTGTGTGTGCAACATTAAATGTGTTTCATGGCTCTGGCTCACTCTGATTGGCTCTCATAATTGGTTAATAAAACACCCATAAGATGGGTACTCTACAGCCTAAGGCATTACATCACCAACACATAACAGATAGCTGAGAGGGGGAATCTAATGCTGATCTAGGAGCAGTCATTTAAATGGTATAGGCGCTGCTTCCTGACTACTGTAGATCGAGACATGAGCGTGTTACCATGCTAGAGGCCTGCAGGTACAGAGCAGGTACAAACTACTAATCAATAGAGTTTCATTAGGGACATTGTGAAAACACTCACTCAGAATGATTAACACAATACCCCAGGGAATGGAGGGAATGGAAAGAGAAGAGAGAGAGAGAGAGAGAGAGAGAGAGGAGAGAGAGAGAGAGAGAGAGAGAGAGAGAGAGAGAGAGAGAGAGAGAGAGAGAGAGAGATCCAGGGCTCTAAGTATATATTGGGGTTGACAATGAAGAGACTGTAATTGAGTGGTATCAAGAGGAGCTGTGGTGTTCTGGCAGGCCTGGGATCAGTACAGGTCTACAGGCATAGAAAGGTATCACTATGCCTTCTCCTCTTTA